AAAGACAAAAGGTTTTTTTTGGGATGAGAACATACAATTAGCAGAAAATCATTTTAACAAAACTTGTTCATATTTGCATGCATTACTAAGGTACATGTTGTGTTTGTAGCAAATAATTATTGCTTACAGACAGACATTAAAACTTGCTCACTAGGGCATATGTTGTGTTTGTAGTGAATAATTATTGTTTACAGACAGACATTAAAACTTGCTTACCTTCCATTTTTTCTGCTTTGTTGTTATTCTGAGAAGGGCAAAATATAATTTAATTAATTATTATTCAGAAATTAGAAGATGTGCAACAATTTGTAACAACAGTGTTGTGAAATTATGAACTAACTTAAGTTTGTTTGTTCTTTGGCACACTTAACTCAAGTTTTAACACAATAGTTAACTTGGAGAAACTTGTTAACTTGCAGTGAATTAACAGATCTTGCGTCAACTGATCTTAACGAAAAACTACTCTTATAATGCTGGTTGGGTGTCGCGGCGCTATGCGTGGGCTTTCGCGACACCACAGAACTTACTAGAAAGACCTAGAAACAAGGGTAGTGTACACGCGAAACAAATACGCATGAAAAAGCCTTAAACAACTGAATAACGTAAAGACCCGCAGATGAGCCGCACCTTTTTTCCAAAAATCGTCGCTCAAAATCGGGGGTGTGGTTTATCTGCGGGAACATTTGGAAAAGGTGCCATAAATCTCGGTGAATTGACACTTTATGGATAAGTATGTCAATAAACATTACATAAAACTACAAGGGAGTACTGGTCATTGCTTTTGGAAGTTTGGTGGCTCCTAAAAGAGCCGTTGTTGGTTTAAGTGTAAGCTTATTGTAGAGCTTACATTTGTCGCTGCTTGAAGTGTTAAACCTTCTTCGTTAGGAGATCCTTCAAGTGGCGTATGGTTGCTTTTCTCAAACAGGAAAACGTCACGCAGCACGGAATTTCCATTCCCCCGCAAAGCTGTTTGCAACGTCGACAACGGCCAGTAACTTCAACAGATAGCGATCCTCCATGAGCAAGAAAATACCACACTATTCTTGAGTATTCACGTGGTAGACTGCCCACTGTTTCCTCACCGTTTAGCACTTTGATAGCATATTTGTCGAACTGATTATGTAACTCCTTTAGAGCAACAAATTTGTCTCTGACATTTGGCTCCCAAATCTCTTTGTAGATGTGATAGCCACGAACAGCAGATGTAAACTCAAATGACTCCATCTTGTTTTGCTTGAGAATAAACAAACAAGGCAAACTTATCGTTCTCGCCCAAGTCCCACGCGGCTTGGCATAAACCAATTGTGCCAAAATGCATCCTGTTGCTATGCAATGAAATGCCTTATTTGCATTCTGTCAACAACTCACATATTGGTTTGTTTACCTATTTCAAGCGCACAAAAATAGGAATTACTTCTTACTACTTACCATTTCCTTCCAATTTAAGTTCTTATCGTATTCGTTAGTGAATGTAGACGTCTTTCCTTGAGTCTTATTTAAGAAAATCTATCCATATTTCTTTTTAACCTCCAAAAACCCATAATGAGAAAACACATTACAATAAATCATCAAAGAACAATACTTACACAAAAGCACATTTATAACTAAGCAGCGCTGTGCAATTTTCAATCCTGATTTACTTTTTGATCCTACCCAGCTGTTTAAAAATGTAGAACCAAGCAACTTGATTTATTACGGTCTAATCAGCCTTACAATACACTATAAGAGTTATCAGATCTAAATCATGTCAGAAAGAGGTACTCCGCATACATCATACACTGCCAGGTTCAAGTTGCGAGTTGTGAGCTATGCCGTCGATCACCGTAACTGTGCCACTGGAAAGAAGTTTTCTGTGGATGAAAGTTGTGTTTGCAGGTGGTGAGTTCAAAGAGAAAAGTTGACAAACACCCCGAAGATGAAACATGGAAACCATCATGGTGTGGCACATTTTCTGGAACTGGAGAAAGAACTAGTGTGTTGGGTCAGAGAGAAACGCCAAGGAGGTTTCGGAATTTCTACCAATGTTATGTCTCAAGGCCAAACTTATTGCAAAGAAATCTGGACTAGAGGAGGAAAAAAATTTAGAGCTTCGAAACATTGGTGTTACCGCTTTATGGAACGCAATGGATTTTCAATTAGACGCCGCACTACAGTCGCTCAGAAACTGCCTAAAGACTACAAAGATAAACTGATCAATTTTCAACGCTTTATTATTTCCAAGAGAAAGCAGCATAACTTCGAACTGAGACATATTGGTAATGCAGACCAGACACCTTTGACATTTGACATTGTGACAAATAGCACTATTGCGGAGAAAGGCATAAAGAGTGTCCCAACTGGCAGCAGTGGATGATATCTGGATAACACACCTTGACTGCTTGCTACCAGCCATATGTGTAAAGCTGAGTTGAATGTGATCTGCAACTGGATCAAGCAAGCATGGGATGACATTCCAACTGAGATGATTCAGAAATCTTTCCGCAAGTGCTGCATCACTAATGCAATTGATGGAACCCAAGGATGATGAAGTATGGGAGCAGGAAAGTGAAGACCCTTTTGAGGATGTGGATGATGCAGGGCCGATTGACAATGAGCTGTACTACGCTGATGCATACGAGAAGGAACAAGTAGGACTTGATCCAGCAACCTATGAAATGATGTTTGGAAGGAGTGATGATGAGGAGGACTTCTATGGCTTCAAATAGCTTTTTACGGCTGAACATGAGTTTATAACACTTCATTCCAGAACTTTTCCGTTGACATGTAAATACCCAGTGGTTAATGCCTTTTTTATATTACAATGTAAAGAAATTCTTTTTCTTGACAAATATATGCATTCTGGTACATGTACTGTTATAGATTGTGTAAACAAATAAATGTATTTTGTATTTTACAAAAACAGTTTTGTGTCAACTACGTATTAACAAATAAAGACGCCATTACACTGGGCAATGTTTCGTGCAACTTATCTCTCAATTTTGTTTAGCCATTGCAAGACAAGTTACAGAAACGGTGCTTTGTGTAATACCCACAAAACTCTCAAAAAACATTGGGCTGCTTCCGTTGTCCAGTTTTCCATCTTCCAATCCGATTGAATGGCTGGTTACTAAGCTACGCACATTCAACAAACAGTCGAGCAAAAATCTATGGAAAAACAGTGTTGAATGAAGAAATACCTGTCTACAAATTCCAGAAAAAGATCAATCATATGTCAAAGATGGTGGAAATGATGTTCATTATATTAAAGCGCTAAAATTGTGGGTAAGACTTTGAAGTATTTTTCATTTCAATGTTAAAAGTGAGTTTACGTTTGATGAACAAGACTCCTAAAGGTTCGACTTTGGATTTCTTTCAAAAAACTTTTTCCAAAATTTGAGTTGCTAAACTCAGGGTGCGGCTTACCTGCGGGTGTTTACGGTACATGTTCAAATAAAGTTCCAGTGACTAAAAAATAGTACTCTCAAGGCTACAAAGTATAGTAATTGAGCGTAAAACAGCTTAAATTAGAAACCCGTTGAAAACTTGTGCAATGTTGCGCATGCAAATTTGTTGCAGAAGCGCGCGCCGCTTCAAGTGTCGTACATTGCGTGCGCACGACTTAACTGCTGTAGGTACACTCCCACCAAATTATTGATGATTTTTAAAAAGGAGAAATAGGAAATCATGAATAATTTCACGTAATACTTTAAAGCTTTCCAAACATGACATTAAATCTTCTTTTAGTCCACGCCCTCCATAAGGAGAACAACTTTCTGTAGTGGTTGCTCGACAACGAAGCATTTGGAATCGCTTCCCTTCTAGGGGTTTCTGGATCCCAATGTGACTTTCACCGCATGAACGAGACCTTCCTGATTCATTGAAGTCTCCATGACCATACCAAGAGGCCACTCATTTCCTGGAACTTCATCTTGCACAATAATGATGTCTCCTATCTTGAGATTCCTTTTCAGCATGAACCATTTCTGTCTTGAACTTAGATTGATGAGGTACTCATTTCGTCACCTACTTCACAATTGCTCCGCCAGAAACTAAACTCGTCGCCATTGCTTTTGAGCGGACACTTCTTTAACTAACTTGCCGCAAGGTGGAAGAAGTGTCTTATTCTTCATTGTTAGCAGATGATTTGGAGTTGAAGGCTCTAAACTCTTTGGGTCGTTCAGGCACTGGCAGGTCAATGGTCGACTGTTGACTATGGCCATGACTTCATACAAGAAAGTGCGAAGTGAAGACGTGTTGAGTCTTCCCTTGTAATCGTTAAGAATGGTGTTTAGGATGCTTCTTGTAGTCCTAATCTGTCTTTCACATACTCCTCCCCAGTGACTGGAACAGGGAACATTTGTGACAAATTCGCAGTAATTGGTCGTCAAAAAGGTTTGAATTCTGTCCTTGTCCAGCTCCTTAGTGGCGTTTCCGACTTCATTCCTTGCTCCTACAAAATTGGAGCCTTGGTTGGATCTTAGCTGCTGGACGGGTCCTTGAATTGCAGTAAAACATCTCAAAGCATTGATGATGCATCAGTTGCCACATCGTCTAATTGCTCTATGTGCACTGCTCAGGAACTCATGCAAGTAAATATCACTGCATATCTCTTAAA